CGGGCGCGTCCGTGACGTCACCGCGCGCGCCGGAAGTGCCTCGCGGGAGCGCGGCAGAGGCGGCGGCGGAGCCGGGGTCCCGCGGTGCGCTGTGCTGCTGGCGGTCCTGTCCGCGGAGTCGGTGAGAGCGCGTTCCTTTGCCGAGAGGTAATGGGCCGGGAGAGAGGGCTGCAATCCCGGGGCGCCGGGGCGCGCTTTTCGCGGCCGAAACGTGTCGCGTGGGGACCGCGCGACAGTTCTGCGCTGACGTGCGGCGTGGAGCGAAGCTGCGAGTTTTGGCAGCGAGGAAGAGCGGAGCGCGGGACACCTCCGCTTCCCGCGCCTTAATTCTGCGAGGTACTTTTTTTTGGCCACTTTACTCAACAGAAATGCTTAATTTTTTTTTTTTCTGAAGACCATAATGTATTGTAATCTCAAACTTATCTTTAATTCAGTTCATAATTTTAAATATTGTAATAGAATTAGTAATAGGCACTTTTTGTATTTAAATAGATAGCAGGAATGGAACTATAGATACATATGTTTTATTGAAAGAATAAAAATACCTAGGTTTAGTGCATATGTAGATGTGAACAGTTTGGGGATTTTAATGGCTCGGGGTTCTGATTTGGGCCATTGGGTAACAGGTGGTGTCACTGGGCGAAGCAGGAGCCTTGGTCGCTTTGTCATTGCTCTGACAAAGTGTCGTTGCTCTGACCTTCACAGGTTAAATTTATTTTGCATCACAGTTTGAAGAGGTTTTAAGCCCCTCAGACGGATGGCACCATAGGATGACACGGTAGAGCAGCATCTCAGAGGAGAAACTGCCCGCGGTGGAGCAGGCAGCAAGCAGCAGGCAGCAGGCAGCAAGCCTCAAGCCTGCTTTCTTTCTGTCCCTCTATTCCATCCAGGCTATAAGCCTACCGGTGGGTTCCGCTGGCACCCATGGTGGGGAACCATTATCCACAGCTAGAACTGGGCTAAGTCACGTTATCTCACACCACGCACCGCCGTCGTGCCCCCTGATGGAGCTCCCTCTCCAAAGCTGCATTCCTGGGCGCCTGAGTATTGGGAGGACATCTAGATACAAGGCTTAGCAACAGGGAATCAGGAGATGAAGTGGATTTCTCAGGAGTAGGAGGAATTTGTTTTGGCAGTGTGAATCGAAGGTGTCTGTGAGACCTTCTCTTGAAAGGTGGGAGGTAGGGTGAAAGTAGAGATCTGGCCTCCTTTTGCTTGCAGTAACCGTGTTTGTGGATTTATAATGTCCTCTGAATACTGAGCATGTATTTGGTACTGAGCACATATTTTGCACATCGTTGTTCTAGGGGCGTGATCAACTAACAAAGTAGATAACTTTACTTTCATTAAGCTCATATTTTCTAGTAAGACATCAATAATACACATTAAAAATAAATTAACTGTTAAGTGATTAGTGCTGTGAAAAAATAGCAAAGTGGGAGACTTCATGAAATGACATTAAGAAGATATTTAAAAGATGAATATATATATATATATAGCTGTATCCTAGCTGCCTTATTTGTAGGTTTTCAGCAAAATTATATTTTTACTTTTTTTGCTACTTTTTAAAAGCTCTAGCTCTTTTCCGGCTGGAACCATGGAGGTTGCAGAAGAGAAGAAAAAGAAGGCTCCTGCTGTGCCAGAAACCCTTATGAAAAAGCAAAAACATTTTGCAGAGCTAAAGATAAAGCGCCTGAGAAAGAAGTTTGCCCAGAAGACACTTCACAAGGAGAGGAGGAAGCTCATCTATGAAAAAGCCAGGCACTATCCTAAGGAGTACAGACAGATGTACAGAACTGAGATCCGAATGGCTAGGATGGCGAGAAAAGCTGGCAACTTCTATGTCCCTGCAGAGCCCAAACTGGCATTTGTCATCCGGATCAGGGGTATCAATGGTGTGAGCCCAAAGGTCCGCAAGGTGTTACAGCTTCTTCGCCTTCGCCAAACTTCAATGGTACCTTCGTTAAGCTCAACAAGGCTTCAGTTAACATGCTGAGAATTGTAGAGCCATACACTGCATGAGGACACCCAAACCTGAAGTCAGTGAACGAACTAGTATACAAGCGTGGCTACGGCAAAATCAATAAGAAGCGAATTGCCTTGACAGATAATTCATTGATTGCTCAATCTCTTGGTAAATATGGGATCATCTGCATGGAGGATCTGATTCATGAGATATATACTGTTGGAAAAAGCTTCAAAGAGGCAAATAACTTCCTGTGGCCGTTCGAGTTATCATCTCCTTGAAGTGGAATGGAGAAAAAGACCACCCATTTTGTGGAAGGTGGAGATGCAGGAAACAGGGAAGACCAGACCAGCAGGCTTATTAGAAGGATGAACTAAGGTATACCCCATGGTATTTTTATGATTTGGTCAGTTAATAAAGTATCTGCTTCTAAATTGAAAAAAATAAATAAAAGCTCTAAATTGTGGATTGATTCATAAAGTACATAAGACATTGAAGTTTTTGCAGTAATACGGTAGTATATTAGCTTTCAAACTGCTGGCTAGTGGCAAGATAGCTCAGCGGACTAAGTGCCTGCTTAGACAAGAGCAGGGACAGGGATTCGATCCTTGGCACCACATACCACGCCAGCCCCGCCCCCAGGCATGCTAATCCCGACACTGGGAGACTTGAAAACATGAGGATCTCTACTAGACAGAGCTGTGTAGTAAGACCCTGCACAAAATACATAAAAAGCGGACTTTGTGTGTAGCTTGTGGAGTCGGCATTTGTGGCTGCGAAGGGTTTAGCGAGATGTCTCACACTATTTTGCTGGTACAGCCTACCAAGAGGCCAGAAGGCAGAATTTATGCTGGCTATGAATCTGACCATGAAACTGTCTCATTGCTATTTGTTTCTCAATAAAATTATAGAAAAAAAATAATTGATTGGAAACAGTAGGGGCTGGGAGCGCAGGTATGTGCAGTGTGTGCCGTGGAATGCTGTCCTGTGAGCCTCATTCCATTTTGTTACACTCTAGCCAGGATTGAATGCATTAGATGAAATGTGAGGTGCGAGGATCTTCTCAATCCGAAACCCATTGAGCCCTTCTTCTTTTTCTTCTTCTTTTTTTTTACTTAAACATTTTTATGATTCAAAAGGCAGTTGTTCCTTCTTGATGTTGGTTCCAGTCCTTCAGATTGTTTCTATCTGATTCAGATTGTTTCTATCTGCTTTAGAACATTCACTTTACTAATCTTTTAAGATGGGGTAGGGAATGATGACAAAGTTTAGTTATGTTCTCAAGAAAAAGTCTTAGTGAAAATAAATGGTGGTGGTTTTTTTTGTTTTTGTTTTTTTTCTGGAACTGGGGATCGAACTCAGGCCCTTGCACTTGCTGGGGAAGGACTTATTCCACTGAGCCATCTCCCTGGCCCCAATAAATGTTCTTTAGTTTAAATTTATTTATTTTTTTAAACATTTATTTATTGTGTGTGTGTGTGTGTGTGTGTGTGTGTGTGGCCGGCTCAGCCCACCAGGGGGCGGGGCTGGCTGGCATGTGGTGCTGGGAGATTGAACCGCGGTCCCTGTGCTTTGCTAAGCTTGTTCTGAGTAGGTGCTTTAGACCACTGAGCCGTCTCACCAGCCCTTTAGTTTAAATTTTTTTAAAAAAAGAAAAGAAAAACTGCTGCCTCCAGGCAAGGTGTGGTGGTGGCATGGTGGCTCAGGCCTGTAATCATAGCACTTGGGAGGCTGATGCAGGAGGATCCTTGCAAGTTAGAGACTACTGAGCTCAAGACCAGCCTGAACTGCATAGTGAGACACTGTCTCAAAAAGACAAAAAAAAAAAAAAAAGTGCTGGCTAGAATACTAGCAAAGGATCAGGAGAGACCAATTATTCCGGTCTT